CGAAAGGACTTGAAATTCAAAATTTCAGACTTGTGACTTTACTCGGACTTTTACACCAGTGACTTGAGACTCGACTCTGACTTGCCTGACATTACTTGAGACTTGAGGATAAAGACTTGAGACTTGACTTGAGACTTGAGGATAAAGACTTGAGACTTACTTGAGACTTGCAAAACAATGACTTGGTCCCACATCTGACTTCTGCTAGCCTTAGCATTGCTGCTAGAGTTAACACTGCAGCTAGCGCTAGCAGCGCTAGCTCTCTTGCTGTTAAAAGTGAGCCACACTGGCAATAACAAAGCTCATTTGTTACTTTTGTCTCACTGAACACCAATAACTATCACAGGAATACTCTTCTTGGCAGGTAACAACTGCTAAGGCATTATAGCTAGCGTTAGCACTGTTGCTAGCATTAGCATTGTTGCTAATGTTAGCACTGTTGCTAACATTGCTAACGTTAGCACTGCTGCTAACAATAAATTTTATAAACCTAAGTCATAGAAACGTCATTCTTTTTTAATCTTTCTTTTTTCTTTTAACTTTGCTGAACTTTAAAAGGACTTGTCATGTGAGTTTAAATGTCAGACATGTATTTTTACCAACACAAAAATAAAACAGTCCAGCACTGAGTGTATTGTACTTACCACAGCAGAGAGCAAAGCGGAATGAGGACAGTTGGGCTCAGTGATGGGTTAAAAACAGATGAGGCATCCGGGTGGTGCTTGGAAATTTGAGAGTCAGTTTGAATACCAATCAATAATGGCATCTGTGAGTATTTATGGTCGTGTCCAAATTCATGGGCTGAAGAACAATACTGTCTAATTATGAATGCAGAAAAGTAATATCAGGTTTTGGATCCACCATGCATTACCATCTGCAAAGTGTCTGATTGGCAGTGGCACCGCTAATTCAGTAAAATTGTACCTGGATAAAAAACACACAACAGAACACAAGAGTCATGGATTGGACTCCCCAGAGCACAGACCTCAACTCTTGTGTATTGTATTTTCATGTATGTTTGCACCTTTTACCCAACAACATATAAATAAATGAGGGGTCACATGAAGACTTTTTCACAGTACTTTATATATGCGCATTAAGGAAAAACTCTTTATGCGTTACACTGTGGTAATAAATAGTTGTTGTTTGTTTTTTTTCCATTTGCACCATCCTCCATCTGTAACCAGGTGTTCCACCTCTGGAAAAGCAGACTCGTGAAATAAGTGACCTTGTCTCTTATGGCCAACATCATCAGGACTGTGCCATAGAGGTCCACTAATGCACATTAATCCTCCAACACAATGACCCCAATCCCTTAAATCTGTCAACAGGGATCTGATGCTCCAGATTACAGATCGAGCTGTAATGATACTAAGGAACTCCTGTCTCGTTTGAAAATTCACACACAATTTATGATTTACAAACTTCATTATATGCAGTAGTAATGGCTGCTGTGCGTCTGGATCTCAATGGATTACCGTACTGCCAGTATAAAGTGGCTGGGATTATACTTTATAATGCTGTTTTCCAACCGCTCCTTTTTCAGCAAAATCTTGTATGAAGAGTATGAGTAACTGAAATCCTCTCTCAAAACTGTGATAAAGCCAAACATTTCACGCTGACATCATCTAAATGGCATTTAGTTTATATGTAGGAGACCGAGATTGGATGAATCTGACAGCAAAAAGGTTTCCAAAAAGCCACAGCATTTCAGTGGAAAAGCACGGTGAGACATATTTTGTTATTGTTGTCACACAAACTGTGCAGCTTTTATATCTTAATCAGTTCTGTGTCTGAACTTTTGAGTTCGGAATTCTGCCCTGTTTGATACAGAAGGTCCACAATCAAAGATGCTCAGCTATGATCCAGCACAGAGACAGCTTTAAATCACCGCTTATCTCTGTTTGTTTACTTTTTCTACTGTTGCTGGACAGATAAATCGACTGGAAAGGAGAGACGGGTTGTGCACATACAAAAACGCTGGGCCTGTAGGTAGAGAATTTGGGAGAAAGTTATTAAAATTGCTTTTATCAACACTCTAAATCCACCCGATGCTGTTGTGCAGCAGAGAGTGACAATGTGCGCTGACATATCCAAAGCTGCCAATTCCTGAGGTGCGTGGCATCAGATTATCTGGGCTTCTTTAAGCTGGTGAGGTTGTTTATGCATCACAGTTACAGAATGCAATTTTAAAAAGGTGTAGCTGTGGTCACTTCAGAGACACAGGAAGGGGGGCTGGAGAAAAAGAGACAAATGAGCCATGAGATATAATATGCAAGCCTGAACCATTGATAAAATACCTGGAATTCTTTGGGGACACAGTCAGGCTACACAGAATGAGAATCAGTTTTTTTCTGCTGAGTTTTTTCATCCTCTCAGTGTACAAGTCATTTTATACAGCAGGACAAAATCCTGGCAGGCACAACAAATACATTGCTGTCAGAGTGACATTTCCATGATAAAATCAACCTTAAATGACATTCAGCTGTGATTAAACAAAATCAAATCCCATGGATTCCTACTAAAGCTTTAGCCTGTAATCCAAACCATTCACTGTACTTTCCTATGAATCGCTTTACTATTTAAAAAAAAACAAAACAGTAGCTGAATTAAATCCATTTTCAATTATAAAAAGAACCAATCTATTTTCTCTTTATTGATAGAATCTTGCAGGAAATACACATCACATTTTGGATTTAAAAAAGCAGGATGTCACAGAGAAAAAAAGGCATTTTATTTTCATTCACACATGAAAAATCTTACAGTCGAATGAATATGTGCACTGTGAGAACAGACCAAGATTACACGTTTTTTACAATTTGTAGAAGCAGGCTCCCAGGAGAAGCCCGAAGTCCAAGGTATCTCTGTTAAAAAAAAAAATCAGGAACAATGTCCATCTCAAACTCTGCAAAGACTATTTGCATAGCCTGCATTTGATTTGAATAAATATCTGGCGGAGACTGTAGTGACAGATTGCTCAAAATAACTTGATAAATGTTGCATATTCTCTGACAAATTGCACAGAGTCCTCAGGTATTCTCTAGAGGAGTCCTACAAAAAGTACAAAAGGCTGGAAAAGAATAGAATTACTAACAAGAAACAGTCCCTCCTGTACTGGTTTTTACCCTGAACTGAGCAATATCTGGAGCCGTTTCTGCAGGAGCAACAGAACTGTTGAAATGTAAGAGGAGATGAAAATACAGTTGTCTTGAGTTTTGAAATGTGGAAAAAAGTAACATAGCATAGAGAGTGTTTGTTAATATTTACAGAAATAAATCGGAGCCTATAGATTTCTTTTATCAGAGGATAAAACATGCAAATTTCTTTTAATCTTACTAATAAACATCACTTCATTTTCATGTGCACAGGTTTGCACATTATATAGAAAATGTCATTCACGTAATCACATATACATCCTTTTCCCTTTTTTTTATAAAGAAAAATTAAAGACTTTGTTTTCCTTTTATACATCCTTTACACATACACACACCTAAACAAACTCACTGGGGTTCTCCTAGAGGTTTCACTACAGGCCATGGCATGTCAGGCAAAGGTGTTTGAGGTTCAGCGGGGGCCTGCTGTTGCTTTTGCTTCTGCTGGTTGGCCCAGTCTAACTCAACACCGTTCTTCTTTAGCGCAGCCAAGTGCTTGATGTCCAGCGTGGTGAAGGTGGTGAACTGGACCTGGTTTCTCTTACTGGTGGGGGAATGAAGAGGTTCACTGCGGTGTGGCCTCGCCAGTAGGGTAGCTGAACGATTTGCCATGGGGTCAATTGCCTTTCCTTGAAACTGCTGGTGCTGAGAGCTGTTCCTGCTTCGTCCTAAGGTTGCAGTTCTTTCTGGGACAGCCGCGGCGCTCACTGTAGGCAGATTGCCTTCCAGGCTGCGATGACCCATGGAATCTATCGAGTGGCGGGACTGCAGAGGGCAATGAGGCTCACGTTTTAGTGTGGACACTTGAGCCGGGGCACCTGAGGCAGGAGCACTGTGATTACTGTTCCCAAGCCAAACCCAGTCGTGTTTGTGATCCTTTGTGTCTCCACTGGGGGCTGTGCCTGCCTGTATGGGGGTCTTTTGTTTCCTGAAACAGAGACTATAAGAAGCACAATTGAGCAGAAAAGCCAAGATGGCAACACAGGAGACCCCCACCAAGGCATACATGCCAATTTCCATGTCAGTCATAGCTTTGAATGTCCTAATGAGGTCACTCTCAATTACTTTGGGAGTTTTAGATTTAGGAGGCTCCTTTTCGGGTCTAACTTCTACCTTAGGAGTATCATTCTCAGGAGAGGCATCGGGGTTGTCAAGCATGTTTCCATAGCTTACCCCAGGCCCTTCCTCTTTACGGACAACACCCACTGTTGCTGTGGGTTTGGCAGTGCTAAGTTGTGTATTTAAGTTTAATTCCTTTATTCTTGTAGGAGAAGCTGCAGTAGAAACAGTATAGGTGGAACCTTTTGGCGCTTTGGTTGCCTTTCCGATCCAGACAACATGGGCCTGTGGATTTCTAGTTGAAAATGTCGTTGGAGTGGTAGTTTTTACCAGAATAGACTCTTGCTGATCAGATATGTTGGCCCTGTTGAGCTGTTTATCCATCTCTGTGGCAGCAGTACTTGTTTTGCCCATCACTTTTGATGCACTGCCATTTAAATCCTTACTTCTGTCAGTGCTTCCTTTCCCTTCTCTTGCTACACTTCTGCTACTACTCTGTAAGTTGATCTTGAGAAGCCCCGAGCCCACTGCCAGCTTGCTCTTCCTTTTAGATTTTTGGCATTCCTCACAGATCCTCAGCTCCACTCTCACTGGCGCCCCCTGGCCTTCACCTTCACCCTCTGCTACTACAAATGCTGACTGTGGAGTGCGGCGTATTGTGGCCACCCGCTCATCTGGGGTAGAAACAGTCAGAGAGTAGATACTGCGGTCAAACAGGTCCAGTGGAGCAACTGCCCCATCGCTGAAAGAAACCCAGCAGCTGACCAATGCTTCCTATGAAAGAAAGAAAAAAGGTTATATGTAGAAAATCAGGTCAGAATACCGGTGGTACATCAATACCTCCCTTGGGCTATAGTCTCATTATTGTTAATAACATTAAACTGCCTATGCCAATCCCTTTAAAGTATATAATATCAATGTTAATCTCTTCATAGTAAATGCCAGTAAGTAGTTTATCTAAAGTTATCCACTCTGGTTGAATTGCATTTCATACCATAAAGATATTATGAGAGTCTTATAAACGTCCTTCAAAAAGAAACCCAAAAAAGAAAAATTAATTAACATGGGTCACATTAAGAACAGAATTGGCCAGTCAAATTACATTAATGCACAGTGACCTATTTCCTGTAGCTAATGTGAGTTACTGACTCGCCAAAGACCTAACCTATATTTTGGATTTGAATACATTATGAATGGCCCTAAGCAAAACATTAACACCCCGCCATCACAGACACAATTGGCTGGTCATGGGCACTGGCATGGTTCTAATAGTTTGTTATTGACGGGGCAGATCAGCAACAGTCACTATGTACTGGAGGTAAAGTGAGTTGTCGTTCCAGCAGCTATGGACCGCCTAATTGCTGCCCCATGCCTGCGACAGGGAGCTGGTTTAAAATGGGCAGGCTGCCATGGCTAAATGTGTGAGTGAGCTTTTAAAATGATCATCTATGCACCCCGTCTGCCTTTCCCGCTCTTTCACACAGCATGGTGGTTGGAGATGATGGTCGAGGCTGTGAACACAAAGAACTCCTATTCAAAGAGGCGAGGAGAAAACACAAATATTATTAAACCCCTGAAGTCACTGGTATGGGAATCTGCTCTGCTGCGGCAGTACTTTTAATTCAAGTTCTTTCTGTAGGAGGCCATTATATCTGTGTTGCAGGATGAATATTTAGGATATGTTAATAACGTACTACTTTATTATGGCAAGTTCAAGTGTAATTTTAAGGGCTGTCTCAAAAGGTTTTCAATGAGAAACATGTTTTTATGTTGCTTATACTACCTCTGCTCCTTGTGTGCAGGAACAGCTGAACCCTAACTGGAAAAACCCTTAAATGAATGCTGAACAGTGCATTTATGACCCAAGGCATTTCTCTTCTTGCACTTTTATTTGCAATCCTTGAAATTCAGACTGCGATTAAAGAAGCTGAAAACCTTCATGATATATGAGAAAGCCAACCTGCAACACTGGGATGTTTCAGACTATAACAAACCATAAAGGCTTTTCTTCTTCTTCTGCTTTTGGCTTCTCCCTTTAGGTGTCACCATAGTAAATCATCTACCTCTGCCTCTGTCCTAAGCCCCAATCTCAACCCTATTAAACATTTGCGGATTACGCTTAAAACCGAGGTCTGTGCCAATTCTGCCAAGAAGGACGGTCAAATATCCAGACAGAATTATGCCAGAAGCTTTTTAATGGCTACCAAAAGCATGCAGTTGAGGTGTAACCTGCTGAGAGGCATCTTACCAATTATTAGTAGAGGTATAAGTATATATTTGAGCCTGTATGTGTACTTTTAGCCATGTGTGGATTAGAGAAAATCTAAAATAACATAAAATTTGTGCACTTAATTCTTGTTTTTTTAAAGTCACTAAAGACGTGCTGTTTAATCATTCCATCCTGGAAAAAAAAAGTTCAAATAAAACATCAAAACCAAAACCACCATGGCATTCATTCCCATAATCAGTATATGTAAATTTCTGAAAACAACTGTATAACACACAAATGACATGTAGTGTATGAGGACTTGTTTTCAAATGAAAAAGTGGAACTTTTTTTCTTTAGTTAGACTTTTTAAATCTGCTAAGAGTACAACAAACAATGTTGGACTACAGAGACAAGACTGTGAATGCAATGATGTTATTTATGCTCTTGCTTTATTATGCATGCATCTGAATAACTGTTTCCAGGCTGGTGTCACTAATAAAAGGAGGGAATTTGTCAGTGGAGCTTGGTGATGAATGCCAGGAGGCTACTTGTTAAATGTCTACACCTCCACAGAACAACAACAGAAAGATGTTTTATGACAAAGGCTTACAAAGTTAAGAAAAAGAAGGAAAAAAGACAGACTGTGCACTCTCACAATCAACATTTAAACACACAAAATCTCCAAATTCTGAGTTCCCGTGATCTTAGCTAAGCTGTCTTATGATATCCTGCCTATGGGGACAAGTCTGATAGACACTTCCACAGCAGCAGATCAGAATTTTCAAAGATGCAATTTTAAAGAAAAGTTCATATCAGGGATTCTCAACTTGTTTTTTTTTCTAGGGGCACTCTTGCACACTCTTGCACAATGATATGAGGCTGATCATAATAAAAAATATTATTCATCAGATAAAAATGAAAACGGCAGCATAAAGGCCCTCACTCATCTTTGATTGAAAGGATGGATGGATGGATGGATGGAAACACAAATGGAAAAACAACTGCCACATACACATGATCAGATGGATAGATGGATGGATGTTTTGGTATAAAGTGGTGTTGAGGGACTTCTTCAAATAACATGAGTGTATTTTCTATCAGTTATCAGTTCAATTTTAGAATACATTTCATGCCCACTTGGTAGATCTACTAATCCTGTTCATAAAAAAATGTGATTGAGTATCATATGATCAAGCAGTTATTCTGTTTTCCCAGTGAAATGTTTGCAGTGAGGCTAAAAATGAATAACTCTCAAATTAACATGCATGAAAAATTCTATTTTCATGCTTGTTAAGTATCATCATGAACAAATGAGATGTGCTTTAAACTGGCATGCTTTTGTGTGAAACAATTTTCCAGCTGCTCACCTGTTTGCGCTGCACGATCGTCTCCTTAGTGGTTGCCGTGGCAACAATAGCCCTGTTGCTCCCTGGACTGAGCTGCAGGGACAGAGAGAGCCCAGACACCAACTGCACTCCGAGCTGTGTCACACTCACTTTATCATCCACCACCCTGATGCTCGTCTCAGCCAGGACCGCTGACGTCAGAGGGGACAGCACCTGCAACAAGTTCATCCTTCTTCCAGCTAAAGATGGATATTGCACAATGCTCACACCACACTCACACAAACACAGTAAATGACTCACCTGTACAGTGGTAGTGCCCACAGCCCTTCCTTGCAGCAGCACCCCATCCTGCACCCTAGCTATATCCGGATCTGCTATGTTTAGAGAATAGCGTACAAGGTTGGTCACATCTATCTGCCAATCAAAACAAACAGGAAAAAAAGGTTAAGCACTGTGTGGCAAAAGGTCAGGTAACTTTTAATCATAGCACAAGCATATAGAGAAAACCTATCATCCTCTTCTTTTGAAATGTGACATGTATAATTACTATGACTTCCCTATACTTACAAAGCATGAAACTGAAGAATGGGCATGTCAAGCCTTATAAAACCTGCTGACAAGTGAGCTTTATTTGGAAATGTTAAAATGCTTGTACCTGCCAATCAGAACCCAGAAAGTATTCAACTGTTTTTTCCCCAGTTAACGGGTCTGGCAGTGCCTCAGTGTCAGGCTGGGCTACAAAGGGTGTGAGCACCCTTACTGTAGAGTGCTGATACTGTAGCATGCAACCCCTGCCTTTCCTCATCTCCTCCTCTTCTTCACTGTCCCATGTAGACCTGACACACACAAAAAGCATAGGGACACAATGAGCTACACGTTTCTTGCAGACAGGTGGCTATAGAAGTATATTGCCTGTTTTAATATGTTTAAATATATACAGTAGTAGACACTTAGCACAGGTTATCAGAATGACTGCAAGCCTCATAAATATATATGTGTTGCAGTTAAGAGTGGAGAAATTATACCAACAAAGTCAGACTTGCTATCTCTACCTGCTTGCAGTGGTGTACATACAACTGACACAAAAAAAATAATTTATTTATTCTTTAACAATAAGGACTGGTGAGCTGAAGAAAAACCGATGACCAGCAGTGAAGCTGTTGCTATTATAGAGGCACAATGCATGCTGAGTGACCTTTTCCGCTAAATGAATTGAAGTGAAATTAAACAGGATCCCACGGCTGAGTGGTTTGTTTATGGGTGATAGAGGTTAAGCTGTGAACCATCCTCAAACCCCTCAGCAATGATCATATAATTATCATACACACAGCTGGTCTGCCACACACTGCACCACAGGTGGGCTGGAGGGTTGGAGAATATGTTTTTACACTGCAGGCGCAAAGTTCCTGTCAAGAGCTACAGTCCCAATAAACATCATTATTATATAGCCTAAGGTGAGAGCTTAACGTGATGGAAATGCTGCTTAAATCAGCGTGACTCAACATCAGACAGCAAAGTTACTTTAAATCTAGTTCATGAAAATGATCAGCATCTTGCTGGCCTTCCATATGCAGGGAATGAACAGGACTTATTTTTTGCTCCATCACATACTTGTACTAGTTCTGTTCAGAACTTTTGAGTCACCCCTCATTTCTTTATATTTTGCTACCAAGGAGTCAGACTTTTTTGTACTTTTTAAAAGTGGTCATGAGAAATATTTCTCCGGGCTTTCTGGAAGTCTTTCAGAGTTTTTTGGACATTGGCTGCTTTTTCACTTCTCTCTCCAGTTCTTGCACTTCATAATACTGACCTATGAATCATTCACCCAGGGATGAACCAGGGTTGTGTCTGCACATAAAAACTAAAGCTTAGTAAAGAAATTGTTTGAAATTGTGTCCTTAGGCACTTTGTTACTAGTTCCCTATCACAAAATACATTATTTGTTCCCATTTATTTTGTTTAGTCTAAAAAATGTCAAAGATAACACAGTTTAATAGGCATTAAAATAATATTTTTGCACCAAACAGGTGATTCCCAAAGAACTATAAACCAAAAGTTGGCATATCACAAGGTGGGTGTGCAATGGACAAGTGTAGAACAGAAGAATAAGTGACATCTGTAAAAAAAAACAAAAAAAAAAAAACACTACCTACAAGAAATAAACAGCATCTGAAAATCACATCCACCAAAGACCTGAAACAAGGCCTGAGAAATGCATCTGGCCCTTCAGCAGATCCATCTACTATTTACTGAGTCTTTCAATCTTTCATGAAGCCATTCTCAAAGGAAACAGAGAGAAAAGGCTGAATAAACTTTATTTATACAGCACCGTTCACAGGTCAAAAACTACAAAGTGCTTTACAATAAAAACAGGCATAAGAAACACAGAAGATAAAAACATAGAACAGAATATATATATAACATCATACAACCTAAAACAAGTTAAAAGCCAGTCTGATTAAATGAGTTTTCAGCTGCTTCTTAAAAAAAAATATCAGCAGAATCAAGACAACACAAACAGAGGGAGGGAATTCCACAATCAGGGACCCACAACTCTAAAGGATTTATCCCCTCTGGTCTTAAAATGAGTTTGTGGGATTGTTAACAGCCTTAGACTGAAAGATCTCAGACTGCGAGAAGAGGTGTAAGATTCTAGAAAGTCAGAAATATAGGCTGGGACTTGACCACGCAGGGCTCTCTGGTACAGAAAACGGCAGCGTTCTGTACCAACTGGAGACGGTCAAGATCCTCTTATTCAAACATTTGAAAAGGCTGTTACACTAATCAAGAAGAGATGAAATAAAGGCATGAATAATCATCTCTAACTCAGCTTTTGACACAAGAGTTTGAAGTTTAGAAATATTTCTTAAAAAAAACCAAAAAAAAACAGTTTCTCATTAATCCACCAGATTGGCTCTCCAATGGCATGGCTGAATCAAACATAATACGAAGGTTTCGGAGGTTTGGTTTGACAGAGGTATGCCAAGTTATACAATAAGTGGTTTAAAAATGTGTGGCAACAGAGAGTGACAAATCCAAATCTGGACATTTTTGGTTAAAATGGTTGTCAATATGTACAGAGGAGTTCAGAAGAGAAGTGCAACAGTGAATGTCAACAGCCACCTCTAAAAAATGGTGGATGCTCTGTCACAGTTTGGTGCTACATTTCACTCAGTGTTGTTGGGGATCGCTTTAAAATTGACTGAATTATGAATGCAGAAAAGTATATCCCTGTCAACCCGTAAAATTTGTGCAGGTTACAGAGACTTTACTAGATCACCTGCAAACTGTGACAAACTGCAGATTTTGGATGTGGTCAAAAAATGCCTGTAAATGCCTTCTTTTATAGTTTAAACTCTAAATATGCATTTGGGCAGCATCTTAGGGATTTAAGATATCGACACGCTGTAAACTGTTATGATGTGTGAATGCTGGACTGTCAGAGATGGAATGAAGAGAGACAAATAAAGCTTTCATGGGTACCCATACTTCCAAACCTTTGATAACACGAGTACTTGACCATGCCAAGCTGCTGTTTCCTCTTAAAAAACAAACGGAAAAAAGAAAAAAGAAAAAAAAAACCCTGCCAAGGATCTTTGCAATTTTTCCTGCGAACAACTATTAGTTGATTCTTCTTTAGAACCTGTGAACAACTAAGGTTGAAAACTCTGAACCACGACTAGAGTTGGATGTCTCGAGACTGGTCTTGGTTTCGAGACCACTTTTACGTGGTCTTGGTCTTGTCTTGGTCTCGATGGACTTTGGTCTTGGTCTTGTCTTGGTCTCGGATTCCTCAGTCTTGTCTCGGTCTTGCTGTCTCAGATCGACACAGTGGTCGGGAGATTTGGAGTCAACAGTATCCATGACACACAACCTAATGTTTGATAATGTGTCATGCGCAAAAGCATCGGCTCTAAGAGCCGTGCATAGAGAGTGCTTTGTAGTGAATCAGAAGAGTCGACTCCCATTGAGCGAGAGCCGGCTCCTCAATTTCCTTTCACTGCTCAGCTCTCACACAGTGGCTCAGCTATGGTCCAATCCCTCCATATTGTGGCCAATCACATGCGAGGATATAGGATAATATCATTATGTGAAAAACAGAGAGGGTGAGAGACGCGACAGTCAAGTGGAGCGTGTGTCTGTCCTCTCAGTAAACGAGTAAGACAGTAGACAGCGGTGAGGAGGGCTGTGCAAGTGCATTGCAAAAACACATAAATATGCCTGACACCCGTAAACGAAGCAACATCTGGCTGCAGTTTAAGACTTTTTTGTCTCGGTCTCGTCTTGACTTTGTCTTGGTCTTGACTCGGTCTGTCTTGGTCTTGTCTTGGTCTCGATACCCTCTGGTCTTGGTATTGTCTTGGTTTAGGCGGTCTTGACTACAAGTCTAACCATGACTTCACAGGTTATACTGTAGTCAGATTTTGCAATACCATCTGCATCTGAGATAAATGAAGAAACCTTTGACTGCCCTTCAAGAAGTCTGGAGAAGCTAAAAGCTTCTTAATTATAAGAAAGCTGTCTAAGAGAGTTCAGGCTGTGCTGACAGACAAAGTGCTCATACCACCTATGAGTTTCAAGCTCATTAGAACTACGCAAACTCTGTTTTTGCTCTTTATTATTTATTTCCATGTATGTTTGGACATGTTTTACTAAATCACTGCAAGAAAAATGTAAAGAAATGAAAGATGGTAAAAGACATTTGCACAGTGATGTATATTTTGCCCTTGATTTTTAAGATTTCAGAGAGTAGCTTTTAAAAACACTGTACCACAAAACTTTGAGATTTCTATGTTTCCTCACTTTTCAATTCGTTTTTTCAATAACCCTTAAACCAGCACGCCTTTTTAGGATTGCTAGGCTGCAAATCAATAATCACAGTATTAGTGTTAATTAAACAGTATAAGTGTTCATTGATTACAAGTGTTTTACATTCTACAAGTGTTTAAGAGTTTATTTTGAAACCAAAAGAGAGTAAAAAACATGCTGAGGTGAAAATTTTCCATGAATCTACATAGTTTTTTAAGATATAAACATATGAAAAACCCATAAGAAGTCTGACCTTAAGTTTTGCCTCCATTATATTATCTATCTATCTATCTATCTATCTATCTATCTATCTATCTATCTATCTATCTATCTATCGAGAGAGAGAGAGAGAGAGAGATTAGTGTATTCCACAGTATAGGATGGAAAATAACATTGAGCACCTTTATTACTTGCGAAAGTGAGAGAAAAATAGAGAATAGTCAGTACAATCACTGTTGAAATTTCACAATACTGACCTAATGTCCCTTTGGGCCCAGAGCTGGGTAGTGAATGTTTTGGGAAATGACAGCCCATCAGGTGGCCATCATCATTAGTATTGAGTGGGGAAAATAGTGACTCGTATTGAGTAAAATCCCACTAACCTTTACCTCCAGGGCAACTGCGTTGCCTTTACACTCGCCTGCTCACTAATGTACCAAACACAGATGTGATGTTGTTTGTTATGACTGACTGTAAAGAGTGCACAGATGGATATTAGAAACACACCACTCAGTATAATGTTATTCAATTCAACACCACCATTAACAGTCTCAACATGTACCAGCTGATTGTTTCTGAGCCAGTGTCAACAAAAACATTAAAAAAACAAAAAAAAAAAACAGCAAAGATTTATTACAGGTTAAACATCAACTTTAGACTTAAACCTGGTTTTTATCTGAAACACCAGAAATAATAGAATAACACTTTATTGTGCCATATATATGTGCAGTGAATTTGTGGAGGATGGTGTTAGCTGTGGTGGGAAACAGACTTCCATTCCTATATGTCACGTGCCTATGACGTATAGGTCAATGGGAACGGCTTTAGGTCTTGGCCTCTGTAAACATTTTGGGTCATATTGAACAAAAGATTAAGTATGTTTTGTAACTCTTGGTAATGCCATGCTTCAAAATGGCGAATTCTCTATCATATAAAAATTGTTAATCTCAAGTTGCTAGCCAATGAGTGTGTGGTTTCACAGTCAGACCTACCCCTCTCTACATCTTGTTTTTACTCTTCTTTTGCAGTCAAGGTGGCAGAAACACTCATGCCAAGGCTTATAAACAACACTTTGGAAGCCAGTCGTGACATCACTTTTATTCTTCTCTATGCTATAGATGAGGTTAGCCAACCTTTATTGATGATGCATAAGTAAACTTTTATGCAGAAAAAAGCTTTAGTATTTGACTCAGTACTTCAAAGCAAAGTCTTACAGGTAAGGCAGGTGACAGAAGGTAACAGAACCCCCAAGGAACAATAGATGTACGGCAGTTGGTCAGGCCTTACCTCCTGTTTCCAGTAGTAACGGGAACCCTCCAGCCTTTGATCTGGCTAAGCTCAGGGTCAGCCACATCAATACGCAAGGGCAGACGGGGCATCCATACACTCATCTCCAGCTGGGCACTCAGAAAACCATATGTAAAGTTGAGCATTATCCTACTTTTCCCTCTGGTTTCCTTCCCATTTAGATATACATAGCTGCAGCGCTCTGACACCTGGAAAGAAAAATAGAGAAGAAAGATAATGAACAAAGGCCTCAAGAAGTATGTCTTGGTTCACAAACTCAGAGTTGCTCGAAAACTTTGTAAATATACCGAACAAGAACGTTATTTTAAAATGTACACAGGAGTCACTTAACCAGAACTGGGACTGGACTGTCATCTAGTGATGTGAAATCAATATTCTCTGGATGTACCCTGGTGAAGGTCTTTTAATGTAAAGCCTATGCAAACTCAATAAGTTTGAATATATATATGATGAGAGGGTAGAGGGGACAGAACCGCCAAACCCAATAAGGCAAAACCACACACATACCAACATTTTATTAATTTCACACCACTTTCAAAGTCTGGCCTGGGAATTGCAGCGTGTTTGTGTTTATGTCATGTAAATTCACATCTGTGGTCTCTATGAAATTGTTACTGAATGTAAATTAGCTCTCCTTTATGACTGTTCCTGTAATGCCTTACTGTAGGTTGGAGTGCCACAATCCCCACCAGCGAGCGCAATGAGGTGAGACACAGCAGTTGGTGTGTTTTATTTAAGATTGGAGGCCTATCTCCACTGCCGCCGTACTTATCTTAACAAACCAGTGGCTCCACAGAGGTAATTGGAGAGCACTAGACTGGAGAATAGAATGGAGCACTGGAGAGAGGGAGGCAAAAAGAAGGAGGAGGGAAAAAGTGAGGAAAAAGCAGGAGGAATGAATTCTGAAGCAAGTCGAGCTGAACTCTCATGGAAATGATGACAGAGGGCAGTTCATCATGCTAACTGTTCATGACTCAGATTTCTTGGGCAGCTCTCCAATTCAACTTCCTCTTCTATAGTCAGCAGACGATTTGACGGTGGAAGATGAGGGATGCCATATCTACTGCTAGCAAATAGATCAAACGCATTTCTTTTTAACTTACCACCCCTCATTCATGTGATAGCACAGGAAAGAATGCACCAGTTGTAAATGTTCACCCACCTCATTGATCCTTTATCCGACTTAGATAAATGACTGTCCGTGGGCCTGAACAGTGTTGTATATAAACATGATTTTCTTATTTATTTATTTTTTTGCAACATGTTGCTAGTCAGATAGTTATGTTGTCACCTTATTACATATGTTTTTAATTATCTGTATAATGTGCAGACTTCAAACTATCGATTTACTAGATTTACTATTTATCATGTCAAAAGTTGCAGAGCAGCCCACAATTTTAAGGGGTGAAGATACAAACATTAATTCAAATTTATTCCAGCAAGGGACAAGAGTGTGACAGAAAAAAAAAAAAATACAGACCAGCAACAACTACCCACACCCTGATATCAAAGCTTACCAAGCATGTGGAAAGACATAAACTAAACCTAATTAAAAGGTGGTAGCAAAACATCCTTAGAACCAAACTGGATGTATGCTGTCCATAAACAAGAAACTAAAGCTTGATATTTTAAAGAGCCAACAAGTAGCAATTATACAATCACATTACATTTTTAAGTAATATAGTAATATAAACGTACTGTATTGCTTTACTAAATCCAGTAACCACATTACAATTGTAGTTATGTTATCACATGTGTCAAGCTTCAGTTATCTACATGATAGACAGCTAAAAATACAGTCCAAGATGCCTTTTCTCCTCCTACACACTTGCTCTTCAATCAGCTGAATCCGGTCGTTAAGTCTGACATCACTAGCCGTGTCTGGGCCTAAACTCCGCTGCAGGTCCATATATCAAACGATCACTATGGCATTACTGAGAGTTGAAAAACTGTCTAAAGTCTTTCATCTTTAATAAAATGATCAGCGTTCTGCTCTACCAGGTGTAACAATTGAGTTTAACATCCAGGCATCCATGAAAACGGAATTTATGACATTTAACGGAGTTAGAAGTTAGCAGGAAGTTAGCTCGCTAGCTTCTATCTAAATACAATATAGCATGTCCTGACTGCGGGGTTTTGGAAACAAATTAAAACGTACAGCTCTGTTATCACTTCCAGCATAAATGAAGACAGAAAACTAAACAGCAGTGACGTTTGTAGGGTTACTGAAGTTTGGCTAGCTGGTATATAATGATGTGCTACGTGACCGCTAGCGACACAGCTATGTTAGCATAATATAAACAAGCTAACTTTTTTTCCACTCGATAAAAGTTAACGTGAGTGTTCTCGGTGGTCAGGAACAAATGTAATCGCATGGCAGGATGCTGTAAAAGGACCAAACTTCAGCCAGGAGAACAACTGAGATAATCCATCCACAATACGAGGTTAGTCATTCATATACTGCTGCATGGGCTGGGCTGTAGTTACATCCTAAGGTTTTAAAAACTGAGCTTAAATAAATGATTAGCGGTAATAAAAGCCGAGGGAGGTCAACAGTGATCACTGACTGTTTTAGGAGCTTTTTGAGATTAAATAGAAGAAAATACATAACATTAAACATGTTAACAACACAAAAGCCATATTAAACGCAGACTACTTTAGGCCCGGAAGTAGGAGATTGGTCACGTCTACAGTTTGAGAATACATTAATACAGGGAGTGCAGAATTATTAGGCAAATGAGTATTTTGTCCACATCATCCTCTTCATGCATGTTGTCTTACTCCAAGCTGTATAGGCTCGAAAGCCTACTACCAATTAAGCATATTAGGTGATGTGCATCTCTGTAATGAGAAGGGGTGTGGTCTAATGACATCAACACCCTATATCAGGTGTGCATAATTATTAGGCAACGTCCTTTCCTTTGGCAAAATGGGTCAAAAGAAGGACTTGACAGGCTCAGAAAAGTCAAAAATAGTGAGATATCTTGCAGAGGGATGCAGCAGTCTCAAAATTGCAAAGCTTCTGAAGCGTGATCATCGAACAATCAAGCGTTTCATTCAAAATAGTCAACAGGGTCGCAAGAAGCGTGTGGAAAAACCAAGGCGCAAAATAACTGCCCATGAACTGAGAAAAGTCAAGCGTGCAGCTGCCAAGATGCCACTTGCCACCAGTTTGGCCATATTTCAGAGCTGCAACATCACTGGAGTGCCCAAAAGCACAAGGTGTGCAATACTCAGAGACATGGCCAAGGTAAGAAAGGCTGAAAGACGACCACCACTGAACAAGACACACAAGCTGAAACGTCAAGACTGGGCCAAGAAATATCTCAAGACTGGTTTTTCTAAGGTTTTATGGACTGATGAAATGAGAGTGAGTCTTGATGGGCCAGATGGATGGGCCCGTGGCTGGATTGGTAAAGGGCAGAGAGCTCCAGTCCGACTCAGACGCCAGCAAGGTGGAGGTGGAGTACTGGTTTGGGCTGGTATCATCAAAGATGAGCTTGTGGGGCCTTTTCGGGTTGAGGATGGAGTCAAGCTCAACTCCCAGTCCTACTGCCAGTTTCTGGAAGACACCTTCTTCAAGCAGTGGTACAGGAAGAAGTCTGCATCCTTCAAGAAAAACATGATTTTCATGCAGGACAATGCTCCATCACACGCGTCCAAGTACTCCACAGCGTGGCTGGCAAGAAAGGGTATAAAAGAAGAAAAACTAATGACATGGCCACCTTGTTCACCTGATCTGAACCCCATTGAGAACCTGTGGTCCATCATCAAATGTGAGATTTACAAGGAGGGAAAACAGTACACCTCTCTGAACAGTGTCTGGGAGGCTGTGGTTGCTGCTGCACGCAATGTTGATGGTGAACAGATCAAAACACTGACAGAATCCATGGATGGCAGGCTTTTGAGTGTCCTTGCAAAGAAAGGTGGCTATATTGGTCGCTGATTTGTTTTTGTTTTGTTTTTGAATGTCAGAAATGTATATTTGTGAATGTGGAGATGTTATATTGGTTTCACTGGTAAAAATAAATAATTGAAATGGGTATATATTTGTTTTTTGTTAAGTTGCCTAATAATTATGCACAGTAATAGTCACCTGCACACACAGATATCCCCCTAAAATAGCTAAAACTAAAAACTACTTCCAAAAACATTCAGCTTTGATATTAATGAGTTTTTTGGGTTCAATGAGAACATGGTTGTTGTTCAATAATAAAATTATCCCTCAAAAATACAACTTGCCTAATAATTCTGCACTCCCTGTAGTATCTACACTGCACAATAAGAAAAGAGCACAATAATAAAACACAAACTATGTCCAGGACAGAAAAAAGCTGCGCTATACTGCTAACACAACGCTGGTTCTTTGCAACCATCTGCACACACTGCATACAAACACAAAGCTAGCAAAGAACTCTGTTTGATGAAGCTGAGTGCATGCTGACTTGCAGCCCAGCAGCAGAGTTTTAGCAGGTAACAAAAGGAGTGATGTGCAGTCAGGTTTGTATACGCCGTTTCTCCCTGTACATGTTTTAAAGTCCCTTTGGGAATGTTTTTAACTTGTTAACAAACCTAAACAATGACAATTTATTTTAGGCTATGTTGCAGAGTGCATTGAATTACCTCCACTGGGGAGTAGTTAAGTAAAAACATGCATTACTTTTAAGAAAAGTAATGAGTAATGTGTAACATCAATTATAAATAATACATTATTTCTGTGTTTATTAAATGCCTCTCAAGCCAATTCAAACAAACAAAGGCCTAACTAAGTCATCTCCCCGCCTCCCCCTCTCCTACTATGACTAGAAAGGGAAGCAGGGATTTCTGAGGGTGTGAGGTATAAGGAGCACTCGAGGAGATCAGAGGCACACAGTGGCATTGCCAGCTTTGTGAATTTGTTGCAAGGAAGGCATCAGGAGGACCGCTTGACCCTCATTTATTTTCAAAACGAGGATATTGCCTTGGATTTTACTGGAGTCCAGACAATTAAATATGCATAAAACTTGAGTCATGACACGTAATTTAAAATACTACGGGGATTTGTGGGTCCTGCTTACAGTGTATTGTGAGAGACATGAGAAAATGCTACCTGAATAAACTCATTCCACTGCATAAACTTTTACTGTGTATTTACTTATTACTTTAACATGCAGTTATAAAAAGATAATTGGAAAGTAGGAAAAGAAGGATGTTAACTAGAGGAAATTGAAATTGCACAATTAGATATTCTTTATACTGCAGTTTTATTCTTTTAACTGTGCATCTTTTCTTCTGTACTTCAGCCTATTGCATATTTCAGCCTATGAGATATTTTTCAGAGCAATGAATTTTACTGCAGTGCTTAATAATAGTGAATGTTTTATCTACCATTCCCAGTTTGTGTTGTTTTCTGTTGATCTCTGTTTGAGAGACTGCTGAAATGTGTTGGAATGGGCAGTCCATGAACTTCACGTTGTGTAAATTGCTTTCTTTCTGTTACATTATTATGCTTCCTAAATTCACCATAAAACTATTTCAGATTAGAAGGGTTTAAAAAAAAAAAAAAACTATGTATCAATGCATTAGTAAAGTACTACATGAAAACTGTTAATTCTTCCTTTTCGCATCATGAGACTAGAATGCATGCATTAGAACTATAGGATAAAAGGTCAGTATAATATTTTAACACAAAAGCTGTGTTCAGCCTGGGTGCTGGATATATATATTAAGTTTATACAAACACGGTTTATACAGACAGGAACACATGGTATTTTTAAAATCTCTAACAAAAGGATTTTATGAGGTAATTCCAGGAATCCTCTAAGGTTTTGACCAAAAACAGAGAAGTTGATGGCCTGCTTGAAGGACAACAACAATCTATCAGCTGCAGTAAATATAGAAATACAGCAATATTTGTTTTAAGATATATAACAACAACACCCAGAAACACTGGGCCAAAGTTTATTTAAAGTGGACTGAAGGAAAGTGGAAATCTGTTCTGTGGTCAGACCAATAGAATTTTGAAATTCTTTTTGGAAAACATGGCACATCTGGAAGGGCACCATCAATATAGATAAAGGTGTTAGAGCAACATATGATGTGTTCAGGGAAGACCTTGCATATTTCAGAAAGACAACCACATACTGCAGCTATTCCAACAGCATGATATCAAAGTAGAAGAGTCCAGGTGGTCAGCGTGCCTGTCCACAGTCCAGACCTTTCAGCTATTCAAAACATTTGGCCCATCTAGAATAAAAAAAATGCAACAAAGAAGACCCCAAACCAGAGCAGCTATAATCCTATATCAGACAAGAATGGGACATTTCTCTACCAAAGGTCCAGCAATTGGTCTCTGCAAGATTAGGAACAAGCCAGAGTTCTAAATGTGTTAATGTGTTGGGATGCCTAAAAATATCCAATGTGTTTTTTTAAGACTGCATTGAAGAAATATGTTAATTCAGATATGCAGCATGAAATTATCCCACTGGTCACAATTATGCATTCTCAAAATAAGAAAAATAAAAAAAAATACATTAAAAATAATAATAATAAAAATAATGGCTGATTATTTCAAAGGGTCACTAATGTCATACTGCATTATTACAGTAATCGCAGTCATTGTTAGTCTTTAAGGTCAAGAACAAAAACAGAGTAAACACACAATTAGCATAAAGAGAAGAAGTAATGCGCCTTCATTTTCACATAACAAACCACTGATGGTGTATCTACAATAACTATTTTACATGCAGGACTAAAAAACAGGCTGCATCAGCCTATTACCATTGCAAGTTTAAAGATCTAACTGGTGCAGAAGGGGTGAATGCTATGGGATTCCCTCTCAGTTCTTGCAGGATCAGAAATCCCAGATTCATTGATTTTTGGTGACTGCTCGTCATTGTCCCAGGAGAAATGTTCCCCCGTCTGTAGAACTGGTTGAAATCTCACTGTTATCCTAGTGTCCAGCATGGCAACACAGGAAGGGAAGCGTTTCAGAGTAAAATAAAATTAGATATGAACGGTTGTTTTGGATATGAAAGATATAATATAACCTCGAGTGATTTGCTTGATTACAAAATTGATTACATTTGATTTTCCCTCCAGTACTTTATACAATGCCAATGCATCCCATATTTTCTGTGTACGGCATAGTGCATAGGTTTGTTTTGGAAAATGTGTAATATAGCTCCATCTGCATATACTGCATACAACTGAATTCCCCAATAAAGGTTCAGTCTGTTCCGCTTATGCTATAAAGAGTTAAGTTTGTGGTTTTAGCCTTCAACTTCACCCAGTTAGTGGTATTGCATTAAGAGAGTCAGTGACTACAGGAAGCATAAGGTATTCATTCAGAGATACATAATAACTGGATTAAGTTGATACAGAAAATCATTACAAACGCAGTCTCACTCTCTTCAGCTCTTTCCCACTCTCTTACTGTTTACTTACTGCCTTAAACTCAGGCAGGTCAGCTGTCTGGTAGAAAATAACAAATATCTTTCTAATTTTCCAGTTCTTCTCCGTCACCCTCACTTCTTTTTCTGTCCTAGTAACATGAATCCATTGCACAAAGGTCAAATCACTTAATGGCTGAGTGGTGTGAGCATAAGCTTGTGCTATATTGGAAGAGGTTGCTTTTGTCTGTAATACTTTAACACACACTGACACACTAGAGTTGAGCTTGTTGTGTGTGATGCCACAGTGGGTGGATGTCTTAGAGGCATATACCAGAACGACTCATGAACAATTTCTTTTTTTGTATTAAAATTCACTTTCACTTTTTGTGCAAGTGAGTCCTGATTTTCATTCAATTCAAAACAGCATCTACATCAATTACATCAATTCTTCATTTACATCTGCTGTAATAACTGCATTAGCTGATAGTTGTTGTTTTTTTTAATGTAATTATTTATTATTCGTGCATAATACAGAACTCATATACACAGTTAACACTATGCGTTCTAGCATAGGTGCTTAGGTTACTCATTTCATAAAAAGCCAAACACACGAACCAGAAAAATGAGAAACCATGCTAACAGTTTTCTTGACTTACCTTGAGCACATCCTCATCTGTAGATCTACAGTTGGTGTAGTCGGTCACGTCAGTGACTGAACCACTGGCCTCAACAGCGAGAGTTTTCACTGGGACTGAAACTCTTTTTCCTGTCAGTACTGCAGTATTCAACATATCTGCGTTCTGGGCAAAAAAGAAGGGCAAATAAAGCACATGCTAGCAGTCTAGGCTAACACAACATCATGGCTTTTTTGGTGTTGTGTACAAAGAAACAGAGCCACAAAGTTAGTAGTTTGGGGATCATTTGTTAAAATTTTTAGCCTAATTCCTAGATATTAGCTGAAAGAGTGAAAAGAGTCACGCGCTTCCAAAGGGATGAATCTTTGCTCTAACTATATTCCCAAAACATCCTGCCCCTCTTGCAACACATCGGCCGCAGAAGAACATGCACTTTTTGACTCTGGATCTTTTTTTAAGATTATTTTGTATTGTTTTAGATTCAAGATTCTTTATTTGTCACGTGCACGGTTATACAGGTATAACATGCAGTGAGATGTGACCTGATACGCTCCTCGACTGTGCAAAGAAAAAAAGAGAGAACTGAACTTTACAATATTATAGTTATTATAGTTATATACTATAGCTATAGTATTTATAGTATATAGAACTTTTTAGTATTATTACTTTAACATGATTGTCAAGGGAGTGTCGGAGAGCAGAAGCAATGTACCAGATCTGTAAATTACACTAATATACAGGTACATATTTTAATTATCATGCTTTAAAATCGCTTCCGCTTATCCTTTTCAGGGTCGCGGGGGGCGCTGGAGCCTATCCCAGCTGTCATAGGGCGAGAGGCAGGGTACACCCATGGACAGGTGGCCACTGTCTGTCGCAGGGCTAACACACAGAGACAAAAAAACAAACAAAACAGTTGCACTCACATTCACACCTATGGGCAATTTAGACTGATCAATTAATTTATCCCCAATAACTGCATGTCTTTAGACTGTAGGAGGAAGCCGGAGTACCCAGGGAGAACCCACGCAAACACGGGGAGAACAAGCAAACTCCACACAGAAAGACCCCGGCCTGATGGTAGAATTGAACTCAGGGCCTTCTTGCTGTGCGACAACAGTGCTAACGACCGTGCCACCGTGCTGCCGCATTAAAACCCATACACACATATATTTTTAATTCTAAGTTCATTATTATGTAAGTTAAGGTATGGGGCACAATTACACTTATATTCAAACACCATGTTGTTGCCTTTTTCTTTTCTTTTTTTAATTTTTTTTAATAATAAGGATGATAATAAGGAACTTATTGTCCTGGATTTTCAAGGCTGTTTCTGAGCTTGTTCTGGACTCCTTACTCATTCTTTTGAATTTATGAAATGTTAGAGTTTTGTATTCTGAAGAGAAACAGAATTTGTTATTTTTAGTTTCTGGTTCTTGTCTAGTCTCCATGTTTTGTTATCCTTTTGTTATCCCCAGTCATGTTCCCATGTTTATCTGGTCTCTCTGTTCTATCTAGTTTTCCTGCCTTATTAAGTTAATATGTGTGCCTATGTTTATCCATTCCTATTCCCATATTCTTCTGTTTCATCCCGACGCATCAGAATCACTAAGCTCCGACAGCGTGTCCGTCTACGGGCCGTCAGGTGAGAAAGCCGAGAAAGACAAAGCTGACTCTGATGCGTCGGTCCATTCTGTGTTTACGTCTTTGTGTGGAATCCGTGTACCTGCTCTCATCTGCTGTTTGGTTGTTGTTGAAATGGTTTTGTGGGCTTTAATCTGAGAATCTGGCGTTTCTGGCAAAACACAGTTATATTTAAAAGTCGATTCAGGATTTAATGAATTGATATTGCTTTATTCAAGCTACTCACCTCCCACTTCCACCTGCACTTTCAACTGGACCACGGCGAATCAGAGAGGTCCCGCCCCTTACTATCTCTGATTGGTTTAGTCCACGATAGGGGCATAATGTGTGTCTGTTGTTGACCACAGGGAAGGTTGCAGATTTTTTTATTTTTTTGCTACCCGATCAGTTGGTCGCACAGGTGCAACCAAATATTTTTTTTTAGTCACACCACTGAAAAATTTGGTCGCATTTGCGACCAAATTGGTCGCACTCTAGAGCCCTGCCTTTGCTCTCCCCAGTCAGTCATATTTCCATATGTGTTTATCTCCAGTCCCAGTGTCAAGTTCACATCTCAGTCTAGATCTCAGCGTATGTGTGTGTTACTTCCTGTTCTATTTTGATAGTCTCCTGTCTCGTGTGTGTGTGTGATGTTACGTTTTGCTTCTCTTGTCTCGTCAGTCAGATTCTGTTCAGCTGTGATCCCCAGGTGTGTCCACTCTGGCCTAATCTCCTCTTGTGTATATAATGTCTGCATCGCCCTCTGTTCTCTGTTGCATGTCAGTCTGCTGAGTCCTGCATCTGGGTCCACACCTTGTTTGCAATAAATCCACAATTCATGAGAAACTTTCATGACCCTGCTAGACTATCATATCATACATGTTTTACAGTCATCACTGTTATAGCTGTAGGAACAGCAATGTGAAGCAAGACCAAGTGTTACCATGAGTAAATGATCAAAGCACACATTAAAACTGGTTAAATGTCCTAAAAGCTTAAAAAATACATCCCCTCGATGACAGTGTGACTGTGTCACAAACACACACCTGGATGAAAATTCCCTAATTCCTGTAGTGCATTATATTGCCCACAGATCAGCACTAACGCAGACTAACACCTAAACCTGATTACATGTCTAATCTTCTAACCTATTTTCCCACCTTTTACTGTACATCGTTGTCAGTGCAGAGCAGCAGCTTATCCCTCACACATCCCGCAACTTGTCATCTAGCCTGATGCAGCTTTAATTTTACACTTTAACTCCTCCTTCTACACAGATTTACAAATACATCCCAGTTTATAAGATCTCTGAATATGTCTTTTTTTAAGGCAGAGGCGTCGTGTGTGTAAGAAGCTTTGGGTGATCAGTAGTGGGGGGTTTTTATCTCTTGATACTTGCGAAATAAAGTGCCAGGCGTCGCTTGGCAGATGTTCCCTGACAGCTTCACATTCTGAACTCTGCTGGCTTGACAGCTGCTGACCGCAATTCCAAAAGGACATGCTCTAGTTCAGACTCCAACACTGACCCAAACATAAGCCACTGGATCAGGGATAGCAGAAAATCAGAAAGCAATAGCTTCGCTCTGTGGTGATGCCAGTGCCACACTGAGAGGTCTTGATGGTCGATGTTACCATAAGCAGAAACTTGGTTTCATCAAGTTCAGCTAAAGTAGCTCAGCTTTGTTTTTCATGTGATTTATGAAAAGAGGTGTTTGTTTTCACTCTGCTGCAAACTCTAGCATTATTTGTTTATTCATTCACTTCTCGAGTATAAGTGGTAAAGGAAATTATGAACGCTACAGTATAAATCATATTTTGATGGGGTTTTTTTTGGTGGTGGGGGGGGGGGTTGCTCCCAGACATTGTGATTCACATTTGTGTTCGACAGTCGACATTGTGTTCGACAGTCACTTGAATGAATGTTACATTTTTATGATATTACGTTTATGATATTACGTTGGTTCAATTTTTTTTCAAAGCTGTGAATATGCTGGAGATGATTCATGGTCTTGTAATATTTGTTTTTGTATGACGAGAGCTGCGACCTCCTCATGAAAAAGGCCAGTTCACTCCACTGTTGGAAAAAGGGTATTTTCCTCATGTGAATTATGAAAGTGACTGATGAAACATATAGTGATGGCTTTCAAATGATACTTAAAATTACAGTTACTGTAAAATAGACGTGTGGATCATCTTTTAAGGACAACTGTAGAGTAGAGCTACTTTGACATTTTAGAGAGTTTTCTTTGGAAATGTTTTGAGATTGCAAGTGGCAGCAGGGAATCAGTGAAAGCATGTTGAATATTTATGCACAATACTGTGATCAAAGGGGAGACCCACAATGAGTAGGCATGGAAGAAAAACTAAATAAAGGAAGACTGGTCACAAAAGCAACTTGCTGACAACATGACATTCATTTCATTCTATTCAAAAACAAAATTCAAAAATTTATGACAGTTTCTACTATTTGATTGAGCTGACTTTCAAAAGATTTTAAGGTTTTTGTCCTCTTTATATCTTTGCAGTGTGATATGACGACACTAATTAAAATGCTAATTGCCGGGTTTATTGAACCTTGCAAATGAGTGCATCGTAAATGCTGACAGACTGTGAACACTTTCAGAAAAAAAGACTACTTGTGCATGTTAAGTCCGGAAAATGTGACATTTTTCTCAGCAGCCAAGAGTTCACTTTCTTGTTTCATTACCTTGCTATATATGATGCATATACCCATCTCATCTTGTTTATTCATTGAGAATATAAACTGTTTTTTTTCTTTGAACCAAGGCAGTAAATGCGAATTTCATAGAGACTGAGTGAAGTAGCTGGGGGCTCTTGCATGCTCTGATATTGCCCTGTGATAAAGTTAAATGCCCTGGCAGATTGCCTAATCAGGTATCTGACTTTAAGCCTTCCACTTTCTTTGCTATCAGTATTAATAAGAGTACAACCGATTGAATAAATAATTCAATACAAAGCCTGAAGGCTATGCAACATCTTTAAATCACAGTCATGAATAAAAACTAAGTAAGGCATAGATAAATGCAAACAACTGTAAGATATATGAAACATGCATAATCTTATACACATAGATTTATGCTATAGTATGATATTTCAAATAAATATACTCCAATATACGTTATGCTAAAACAATTCTCACCATCACCAGCGGTGCCAGCCCCACGTAATCTCTCTGGGTGGTGTAGATCCGCGTTACGCCCACATCCTTCACATTCCCTGGCAACTCCAGACGCCAGGAGATGGTCTGACTTTCAACCTGCTGTGAAACAGCTTTTGGTACAAAGTCCAGTTGTAAAACCTCCAAAAGGCCCCTGTTTAGAGATTCAAAATGATATTTAAAATGAGTTTAGGCAAATTAAAGCAAGCCTAGATATGTTTTGGTGAAGAGCAGTCAGCACAATTGCATCTATTTTTTTACTACTGACTACTTTTAATGCAAAATCTATCTAACTGCAGGTGTGGCTTTAATGCTTAAGTTTAATATTTCATTTTTGTAGAATATGAGAATACATATTACATATCAAGGTTGTAGCGAACATTTAGCAAATAGCAAATTATTACTACTTAATTAACAAAGTCAGGTCATAATCTTTTATCAAGCGTGGCTGTAGCTAAGTAATATCACATTGAACTTTGTGTTATTGGGTTATAATAGGCCACAAACCTTTGGTAACAATAGTATAGTAATATTCTGCTAACAATATAACAGCCTGCTAGCAATGAAATGGTCTCTCTTTATATAATTTTATTCATTTTATATGCTGACTTGTGGTAGTAACCTCATAATAATAAGGTAATGCTGGTTGATACTTAACATATTAGGATCCTATCGTGTCATGTTAGTACCACATGCCCAATATGGACTAAAATCTCCTTTGAATGTTTCCAGCATCTTGTTGAATCTATGCCACATAAAATTAAGGCAGCCCTGAAAGCCAAAGGGGAATCCAACCCTGTACTGGCAGGGTGTACCTAATGAAGTGGCTGGTGAGTGTATATAATGTATTGATTGTACACTCACTCACATAATGCAGCTTTCCTACTAAAAATGGTCCAAGTGCAAAAGGAGCTTAGCTGTAGTGAATAGTCAATAGTGTTCCTTGGAGAATAAAATGAGAAAATTAAATGGAGAGAGCTTAATCTGAACTCTGTGAAAACCCACATGTTATGTTGGAAAGTAAAGACGATACACATGAGGTCTCATTTCCATCAGCAGATGGAAGAATAAAGTGAGAGTGTGGAGAGAAGATTAAGTGAGCTGGCAGAGACTTCAGCCAAGTATTCTGGTCAAAGGATTGTCAATGAAATGGGATGTGATGTTATTTAATGTTGGAGAGTGTGTAGGCATACCTGTCAGCAGGAAGAGATCAAAGGGAAAATGAAGCAGGGTGTGAATGGAAGTGTGGCACTTTGAAGTGGAGCAAAACTTTGCATAAAGCAAAACAATGAATCTCTACATGATTGAAACTTGAATTTTAAAAGGATGAACAGTGTTGAAATCGGTGGTAAGAAAAAGCAATGCAAACACATACAGGATATACAGAAACGCTCGCGCTGCATCAAAAGTATGCCAAGGACTGAGCGTTATACGATAACAAAGTGCAATGAACGAGGTCACGATGAGGTTATGTGAAGCACTCTAGGTCGCAACTGAAAAGACACAAAACAAACTTTTTTCATTTTCTTTTTGGGTTATGCGCAACTGTAAGCTTTGAAATGCTTGAAGATTAAAATAATTGATTATAAGGAAATCAAAGTGTTCTGCAATTGATTCTTTAGGCTGGAAAAACATGAAACGTGAAAATCTGTTTTCTGCATTTAAAGGGCAAGATTCTCGTGGGCAACATGAAGCTTGTCGCAGAAGATCGGTGAAAAATGTTGGCAATGACGACCAAACAAACTCAGCATTTTCTGCCTTTTTTTTTTAAGTGGTAAATAAGCATAAATTAGAGTTAGATAAAAAGATTAAGCTTTTCTTAGTATATACCAGCACCATGCCAACTTAGCTTAGTGTGAAGACTGACATTGGGGTGGGGGAAGTGGCTTGCCAGGCCAAAAAAAGGGGTTTAGCCCTTAACCCTCTTGGATTTTTGTACAGATTAAAGAGATACCATGTGGTAATCAGTGAGCGTTAGAGACACTGGTAAGTGGATTTTGTTACTTCTGGACAGAGTTAGGCTCACTTTTTCCTTCCATTTTGTCCCATATTCATTTGAAACTGTTATCAAAGAGGTGTTGAGCTTCTTACGCCAAACATACAATTTGACAGGAAAGTGTTTTTTTTTTCTCCATTTTTCATAAGAGTCGTGGAAAAGCATGAGTATAAAATATCCAAATAAGACACTAATATAAAAAGAACACTTAAAACTCAGGTGCTGGTTGAGCTCACTGGGGTAAGAAGGCAACCCATATGCTGCAAGGCATATGGGTTTGATTCCACCCCAGTGCACTTCCTGCATGTTGCTACCCTGCTCTCTCTCCCCCCTTTTTCTCTCTGCTTCATTGTCCTTTCCAGCAGTAGAGGCTAAAAATAAATCTTAATAAAAATGTCTAAAATTAATTCCAAAAGTCTAATCTTTATGTGTTTTTGTGTAAGTAAAATAGAGCCGGGCAGATTTTAAACAGATTGAAATGATTCACAATGTGAATACCTTGAGAGAGAGAGAGAGAGAGAGAGAGAGAGAGAGAGAGAGAGAGAGAGAGAGAGAGAGAGAGAGAGAGAGAGAGAGAGAGAGAGAGATAAACACAGGAGGGGTTTATGACCCTCTTTCCTAGAAACCATCTATGGAGAGGGGGGCTTTAAAGCCATGGATGCATCATGACTTCAGAGCACAGTGATGAGAGTATGTGTGTGTGTTTGTGTGCATTTGCATGCGAGTGTGTGTTTGCAGGCCTTGCATGTGCATGTGTACGTGTTCCCCAGTGGAAGCTCAGCACAAGAAACACGACTTGGAATATCTCTACTCCCTAATCTCCACTTCGGAACGTGCAAGCGCTTAAGCCCGGATAACGTGGCCATGATTATGGATTATTACGGATATGTGGGTCGGACGGATGGCGGGTGGTGTGTGTTTGTGTGGGCGGGGGTTGCTGGGTAAAGGTGGCTGCTGGTGTGTCACCAACATCAGCATCAGACACTACTGATGTATTCAGCTGGTGTGCATCGGGAAAAAGAGGTGGAGAAAGTTCTACGAAGTTTTAATTAATCTTTGTTTACTGTTAAAATAAACGAAGTCAAAGGGAAGCACTTTTATTTCTTTACTGATTTCTCATATTTCAAAGCTATTTGACTGGTAAAGTCTCACAGAACTGGGGAAATGGGGGACTTTTTGTTTTATAGGAAGTTCAGAGAGAAACAAGATGAATTAAGATTATAAATGATCATAAATGTATAATTGCACAAAGTAATGTGTTTTACAGTAAAAAAAAGAAAAAGAAAAATAGAATATATTTATTCTGAATTTAAACAAATATCTTAATATTTTCATTCTTCTACAAGTCTTACCTCTTTTTTTCTTTAAATATTAAGTATTATACACACAAAACATGTTTGCTTATATTTGCATATGAGGGACTATGTGAAATTAATTTACAACCAGATATTTTAAAAAAAGAGGATTTAAACACCACAACCAACAATATCAAAGTAGTTACAGTATATGATTGTCTGGATTTATTCTTTTCCCCACAGTTTAAAGTCTTATTCTTTCAGTGTCACATGATGTTTTTACATGAAGCAGAGTAATCCTGCTACGCAGCTTCTGATCATATTCTCGGTACTATGTTTACAGGAAACACAGGAAAATCTTGCTATGCGTAGTCTCATATACATGATACGTAACAGCATTGTCACTATTGATCACAACACCTTTGCAAGGTTCCATAACATATTCAGGAAGTAATGGTTTTGTGAAACTGGATAAAGACAGTCTAATGTCCTCTAGTTGTTAAATCCCATGCCTGCTATTTTGGGTGGTCAGTCCTTACAGGACATAATTTTGTTATTGTTATTATTAATAGGAGCAGCAGTTATAGTAGTAGGAGTAGTATTACTAGTGGGAAGGGATAAAAAATTGCACCTGAAGAACATCTCATTTATTCTGAGCAGAAATTGGAGACACGCAGGGAGACACTCTTACCTCCTCAGAGAAAAATGTCTATTATATGAAAATGGATACAGTCTGCGCATCACCAAGCATAATGCTTCTTTTTCTTCTCTTTTTTTCTCTTTTCATCTAAAAACATTCATTTTGCCCTGTGAAGTGAATGCAACACTGAAACACACTGTTGATCACTTTTCCTTCAGGTAGCAGCAGCGGTTATTGAAATCTCTATGACAATAGACGTCTCCACAGAATAAACAACGAGAAAAGATTGCTTCATGAGTGTGGAGAAACTGTGTTTTACGAAGGGTATGTGAAGGGTCTAGTGACAACAGGCATATGCACTGTACGCGCAGTAGACTGACCTCTTTGCAGTGACAGCAACCTTCCTGCGGCAAACAACAGACACCGTGTTTGGAGCTGCTCCTCTGCCAGGCTCTACCACCATGTCCCACAGTGCTGAGTCACTGGGCCGAGCTGCACTGAATGACAGGCCCATCTTTACTGCAGCCCTGCAGCAAAGACATGCACATATAAATAGGACACTTAGTATAAAGTGCAACTTTGTACACTTTTGTAGACTTTTTGTAAAATGTCATAAAAACAAAGACAGGACAGGGGATGTGCTGTGTAACAATAAAGAATTAGGAATGAAGAAAGCTTCATAATGTTTGAATCTTTTATTACGGAACATGATGCAATGTGATTTTCTGCTGTAACGGACAACGTCGGGTTATACGGAATTGTTCTGACGCTCAAAAGAAATATTTGAACTGTTGCATCTGTCTCTTTTTGGATGTGCAACAACAATATTTGCCATATCTTTTAGTATAATGTACACAGGTACTAAGGTTACTAAGGGTTGTGTGCACTTGCTTGACAACGTGTGGGTTTTCTCTGCGATCTTTTGTGTGCTTTGCTGCTCGTGTTGAACAAGGTGAGTCACTGACAAACTGAGTCACAGGTTGCTTGAAGGCTGAGAATTAGTGGGGTTATTTAATTCCCATTAGCCATTAGAAGATCTGAAAATCAGTTAATCACATGTCTTACACACACACACACACACACACACACACACACACGTGTGCCAAACGAGAAAAATCCTGCAAATCCAGCTATCACCACAAGTTTTCTGTCCATCCATCCATCTTCTTATATGATGTAGGGCCATGATGGTAGCAGATTCAACAGGATATTATTTTTCTTGGCAACATTTTTAGTTCCTCTTGGGGGATACTGTGGTGTTAACAGGCAAGATGAGATACACAATCTCTCCAGCGAGTTCTGGGTCTCCCCTGGGGTCTCCTCACAATTGGACATACTCAGAAAGCCACCGCTAAGGGAGGCACCCAAGAAGCATTGTGGTCAGATGCACAAACCACCTCAGCTGGCTCCTTTTGACACAAAGGAGCAGCGGCTCCATGCTGACCTCCCTCTGGATGGCTGAGTTCTTTACCCTGTCTCTAAGGCTGCACCCAGCTAGCTCATAAGTTCAGCCACCACAAGTGTTACAGATCTGAAAACTGAAAAGTGATACTTGGGGAACAAATCCTTCAGATCCCTGTTCGAAGTGCAATGATTGGCTAATTATATTATAAAAAGGAAATGAGTCTGAGAAGTGAAACCAGAAATCCTTAAACCTGCATTGTTTTTAGTGACCTGCAGATGATGACTCCCTCTTTTTCCAAAAAGAAAGCAGTTAAGAAGTCTATGGAGAAATTACTCTGATGCTCATTGGAAACATTTTTCAGATTAAAAAAAAACATTAAAACCATTCATTTTGCTCCCAAGGGCTTCCAGGCTTTCTTGGATTTTTTTAAGTGGTCTTGAGCAACAGTTCTCCAAGCTTTGTGGAGGAAGTTTTTCCTTGGACACTGGTTGTGTTTTCATTCATTTTCAGCCTAGTCAGTTCCCAAACTGTTAGTTGAAAGTCTTGGCATGTTGTGCAGCTTGTCCTTAAAAAATCTGAGGAAAAGTAGATGACAAAAGAAGTAGCAAGCTTAAAACCTATCTATAGCAGATTTATAGTATCTGAGAGCCATATCCTAAAGAAGAAGGAAAAATTCCAGCAAAGAACTGACCCAGGAATTCAGAGATACTGTACATGTGGCTCTTTAATTGATCCATTTGCTGTTCACTGAAGCCTCATCAGAAATGGTCGTAGTGGAAGGGTAGCTGTTAAGAAGCCTTTCTTATGGAAGGCTACACATGAAGGTGCCAAATTACACAAGAATTTAACTGAAAAGCAGAAGCAACAGATCTTATGTTCAATTTGTTATCAATATGTGAAGTGGAGGTTAAGAAAGAGGTAAAATAATAATAATAATAATAATAATAATAATAATAATAATAATAATGGATTGCAAAACAAGTGGAGCACTATCAGTCATGTACTGGACTCCACAGATAGTGACGTCAACATTACTGAAGCAGTGTGGGATCATCTTAAGAGAAAATGAAACAAAAGGCAGACAAGATCCAAAGAAGAGCTTTGAATGTCCTTCAAGAGGCCTTGAGAACTATCCTGAAGACTCCTTAAAGAAGTTACAAGAAAGCTTTCCTAAGAGAGAGTTCAGGCTGTGTTGAAGAAAAAAGGTGGTCGCAAACTATAAAGAAATAACGAGTGACTCAAGGTTTTTGCAGAGTACTGTTCTGTTCACGATTTGATTTGTAAATTATGGCCCCATGTAGAGCAAAATAAATGGTAAACCTTTGTATGGCATGGCCAGACATTTGTGAAGCAGACAGATTCTAATTTCAAGGATTCAGCAAGGTGCCAGCAATGTTCAAAGTGAAATTCAGCCCACGAGCATATATAGAGAGCAACAGATAGACTGTGGTTGTGACAGAATGTCTGTTCTTCAAGAAAATATCGAGGTAGACACATTGAAAATACCATTAAAACCTCCTTCACCTGCTTCGTCTTTAAGGAAGCCAGATCAACATTTTCATTATGTCAACTCCAAAATACTCTTCCTGCCATCAGTTTAAGACGTGCAAGGCTTAAGCATTTATTAGAAGAAGTGACATGGAGTGAAAACCTGTTATTTTACAACAAACAGTCCATCTCTTTTAACAGCCTGTTGTTATTTCGGCTCCAAATCAGATTTCAAACAGTTGAAGAACAATATGACAGGATGACTGGAGCAGATTCCTGCTAGAATAAGGGTCAGCAGAAAAGTGTGTGGCATTAGGCTTAGCACACTGACACACACATCCAAATACACACACTTAAAAATACAGATTTGTAATCAAAGAGCGACCAGACAGATCAATAACCCCTGAGACTGAGGTCAGTGTTAGAGCGGTTTCAAAGGCAAAATACAGTAGGCAAGAATTAAGGGCACATTTAAACACACACTCAGGCACCCACACACATATTGTTCTGCTGAAAATTCAATGCGTGCCAGATAAAGACTTGCACAGAAATTACTATCTGAAGCAAAACTCTTATGCCAAAGGCACATGTTTTCATTTGTGATTTTAATTAATGTTTGAAAAACAATAAATGCAGACACTGACTCAGTCGGGCAGATCAGAATACAAATTTTAAAATAATGAAACAATTTTTGAGGATGTTTGTCTTTCATTTCCCTTAAATCTTAATTTGCTGCCTTTTTAAGGCATAATAATTTGTCATTGTGATCATAGTTTAGAAAAAAGTCAAACTGTGTTTTAGTTAGGGGAAATTACAGCCAAGGATAAATGTATTCTTTTGCTATATGCAGTGAATCATTTTCTTGCTGCTTGCCCAGCTCAGCATCACAGTGACAACAGCACCTGATGACCACCCTTCCCAGGGGTGCAAACCACTTCAACTGGCTCCTATTGAGTGTGGAGAGGCAGTAACTCAACGTCAGGATCTTCCTGGATCACTGCGCTTCTTGTTCACAGGCAGACACAGGCTTCCCTGCAGAGAAACCTCATTTCAGCCACTTTTATCCCCACGCTTTGTCTTTGTCACTCACTACCCAGAGTTCACAACCACAGGTGGGGGACAGAGCGGATATCGACCTTTAAACTGAGCAACTCTTCACCCCTGGTTTACCAAACTTCATCTCTTTGTTTAAAGCTGCAAAAGTTGCAAAGCTCTTGCCTCTTTTGTTTTTTTAGGCATTCGGGTAACCTAAAATTATTTTTTGCTGCAAAAGCGGCCTCTGTGAACAGACTGTTTTATGTCTCTGTACTGTTTTTTTAAAAGCTGCCTGTGGTTAACAGGTGGAAAACCACACACACACGCACAAAGAAACCCAAAACAAAACATACACATAATCAGTCCTGGCAGCCCAGATCATCTCTACCCGAAAGGGTTAACCTCTTAATTCACTTTCAATCAGGGGCACAGATTATCTGGCCTAACTCTGCTGGAGTGGACTCAATCTTGGGCCAAAGAGCGAAGTAGAGCTGGGATTTCTCCCAGGAGGAATCAATCACTTTGCCAAGCTCCTCAGAGCTAGCCTTCACTTGGACTCAGCTGCTGCACTCAGTCCCCTCTTCTTGTCCAATCTCATTCTGGATGTGGCAGCAGGTCATAAATACACAGACCAAAATCACTGACCTGACTAGAGGAATGTCATTGGTTTGGTCAGTGAGTATGAATTTGGGGAATTTCAGGTGAAGGGGCTGTAAATCCTCGCAAATAGTCAAAACAAGAGCAGATGTTAGAGGGTCAGCGTCTCTCTGCCAAATCTTATTCACGTAATTTCAACAATGCAAGCAGAGGTGCATTCAGGTCAGTGGGATTCTGCATTTGCGTGTGTGCGTGGAGGCATGTTTGTGTTTGTGAATGCTGCCTGATATCTGAGAAGAGCACTGGGAATGACACACAGCCACAGGGTAACAGTGTGCCCTATGGATTAATATGCACATCTTAATATTTCTCTCCACTTGCTTGCATCCTGCAGCAGATTACTACGCTGTTGTTATGACGACAGCACAATATCACTAAATCGTGGGATTAGAAAGAAATTTGTCTTGCATTTCAAAGAAAATCATTAATCAGACCACAGGCTGGAAACACAAACCTCAGTTCAATGGCTTTACTATTGACTGATGCAAAGTGTTCTGATAAAAATAAACAGTTTTACTCCACCAAGTGATGTGCATTTAAAAAAAACAAACAAAAAAAACAGCAGGGGGAAAAGTCTGTAAAGTCAGCTGTGAGTTTCTACGTGTTGCAGAGCTATATTTATATTAAATTCACTTTTAGCCAATGGGGCCTTTTAGATTTTAGTTATTTGTCTTTCTGCTCCATTTATTAGATGCATTATTTATGAAGTCAAGTAACCAGAGAACCCTGTTGACATGTTGCGATACGAAAATCAGTGAATCATTTACCAATTACTTTCTTGTTTATGGAAGAGTGCGCCCCGTAAGTCCTCCACTAACTGATAAGTTGACATAGACAAGATACAACATGTCAGTAATTTGTGAAACCGGTGAATGTGGCTGGCAAGACAAGTCCTGCTGGCGCTCAAGCATTTAACTGCAAGGCATTGATGGTGAGGCCCATTAGTGTTCAAGTGCCTTAAGTAACAGTTTAAATGCATGGAGCTAATCCTTCATGAATACGCTTCAATATGCCGTACAACCTGATGATTCCAGTTGGTTCCAGTGTCTTTTCATGCTTCGCATGTTTCATTGCAACAATGAATTTTTATGTAATTCAACCTAAACTATTTTCCTTTCCATCCTCAGCAAGACTGGAGAGTAATTACAGTGTTTTCCTTTCTCCGTTTCATTTCCTAAATGCCACTTTAAGCACAAGAAGAAGGGAGCTGGAAAGGCTTTGCTGTTTAATTTTCATAAAAGGGATCCAGATCATCAGAATTGCATGGGTTCGTCCACTTCCCTGCCTGTTTTTAATAAAGTTTGTGACACCTAAACAAACAGAACTAAAAACATACATTCAGGTCTCTCCTTGGCTGGAGGAATAATGAAAATCATAAAAAGGTTGTTACTGTCTGAGTCTGCATATCTTGAGTAATTAAGTCTAAGGCTTTTAACTTCATAAAAGAACTAAACTAAAATATCATTTTTTGTAAATTTCTTCACTTTACTTACCTTCAGCAACTCAGACATCTGCAGTCACGACTTACAGTATGAGAACTATACTAACAGATTTGACAATCAAAAGAGACTCATCGCAGTTTCTTGTAAGGACTTTTAGATCATGAGGACTGTAAGAAACTTTGGAATATAGTCGACCCACATGATCTTAGTGAATTTAATACTGTTGAATAGATCAGTAAGTAATATGTGCAAGAGCTGACTTTAAAAACTAAAAATGCTTTCAGTCTGGCGAGAAGTCATTACTCAAGACCAAATAGCTCAACAGACAAGAACAGCATAACATAGAATATCTCTCACCTCAGTGTGAAACTTTCCAAGGTGGACGTACTAGCAAGAAAGACATAGAACGTTGCGACATCACCAGACTTGAGGGGCTTTGAAGAAGTCTGGATCACCACAGCGCCTCCCAGCCTCAGCCGAAGAAAGGTGGGATTCCCTGGTGGACTTTTGAGCAGGCTGACACTTCCTACCCTCCTCATTGGTGTCCCTGATCCACCAGTGTCTCTGCCTCGTCCCACTCCTACTCGTTGCAGGCTATCCTGTGGGGTGCACTGGCCAGTCTGGTCCCGCCGACTCTGGAAGTAGACTTCCACAAGGTTCCCCTGAAGTCCCTTAATGCCGTCAGTGCTTTCTGCTTCCCTGCTAGAGCTTCCTGATCTACTGGCTGAGCTGAACCAGGAGGGTTCTGGCTTAAGCTGTGCCACACAAAAGCCGCCAGGAGACACCAGACAAGCCCCACGAACTTCTCTGGTCTCCCAGAAGGCATAAGCTGTGACACAGTGAGCTCCATCCTTAGCCTTAGCTCCATCATTTTTCCTCCCATTATCTTCTAGAGAGCCCATTGTTTCTTGCCAAGCAGTGATATTGCTTTCTGTGGGCATGTGGAAAAGAATCTTAACTACTGGGGATGAGGAACGAACCTGGCGGCTCAAAATGACTGGCAGTATCTTGCGCCCACTGAGGAGCAAATCTAAAGGAATAGAGGCATCTAGAGTCAGGGGGCCAAATGAAGCATTGACAGATGGCTGGAGAAGCCCAGCACCAGGTCCAGTGATGAGAAAAGTCTGAGTCTGAGCTTTCAGGCTAGAGTTCCCAGATGGCTGTGGACTGTCCTGTCTCACAAACACGTGGTCCACATTGAGGACCTGAAACTTGATGGTGGGATAAACTGGAGATGGAGTGGTGAATGTCCCAGTGTCTTTAGCCACTCTTGGAATCTCAGCACCTGTGAAATGATGAGTTTGGGGAATTAGGACTTTAGAGAAATTAGTTAGAAATTTTCCATATATATGCTTTAACTCCAAGGTTCAGTTTTAGGTTTCAAATCTACCGACAAGCACAGTTACTGCTCACAAAACTAGTTTGCTACTGTAACTGCAAACAGGATGACAGGAGGATGAAGGGTTGAAAAGAGATCAGAGTTGGAGAAGCAAAGCAAAGGGTCGATGCCATGAGGTTCAGGTAGGCGCCAAAAGGACAGAGTCAGGATCACGACACTGATGATGACAGTTGGCTGTCTTGGCGAGCAAGACTCAACACAATTAAATGACTTCATTTAGCAAACATGGTTTATTTCTGAATATAGTTCCTGCATCAAAAAGAGAAAAGAAAAAAAAAACAGCCTTTTAATTTTCTTTCACTGAATTTTCGTTCTCCCTTACTTTTCCTGAATACACGATTCACGTTTCCTAAAGCAAAACACTGTGCGGCTTGAAAAAGGAAAGACAAACAGGGTAATTCTTATTGCATATCATACGACCAGATGGTAACAATTCCAGTAGGCATACAAGTTGCTGATTAAATTTTCAGCCAGATTAACCATGGCATGTGGCTTTATTACAGAGAATTATACACATCACTATAACGTTCAAGCTCTAAAACACGAGGAAATTAGGTCTGCGTCATTTCTGTCCTGCAACGGATATTCTATTCTCTGCTATTCACTACATCTATCCGAGCCAGTAAAGGAAATGTGGCATCCGAGTGCTAAAAAGCCTGTCTGGTAACTTCTGTGGGATGACTGTTTGTCCAGATAGAACGCCGTATATGACAGATCACTCTTCCCGCTGCCAGAGACACTTGGTAATTTGCCCTCCTCCATGCTGAAGTGCTCAAAGATTAATATGAATTTTTGAATATGACTTTCCCTTACCTCACAAAAAAAAAACTTTTAGAAAAGAAAATATTCCTCTCCTTCAGACGCATTAGAAGTGGTATATTATTGTTTTCTGATTCCAAACCATATTTCATGAATAAATTTATATTTAAATTAGATTACTTGCTGAATGGAAAAGAAAATCAGATGTCAGGGTGGATATTAAACAAAGACACACAAGAAAAGAAAAGTGTCTTATAGATCCCAGAGATCAGACTAATGATGTAAGGAATTTCACATGCAGGCCAATATAAAAGTTTTAGTTCTACATTATTAGTTTGTGTCTGCAGGTTTGAGATAAAACAAAAGCACACCAATGCTCATTTGCCATTTCCAGCTATAATTCTCTCTGTCTGGGACTAATAATTATTTAATTTAGCTGACAGTGCACTGTACACTTATAATTCACTGTTAGGGTGTACAATCAATGTTGTTAATCATGTTAGTCTGTGAACAGACATTTGAAGATCTATGAATTGATTTCTTTTTGCATTTGGTGCACACATTTCAGCTAATTAGATTTTGATGCTGATTCACTTCTGAGGTTGCTGAATTAGTACTCAAACTGTTATAACCCGACTGTAGTGCAAAGATTTTATACAATGCAATTAAAAAAAAAATCTAACAAAAAAATCATAAATTGTTGGCTTTGGCGGCAGCTGTGTTTGCTCTCCAGTTTAAGAACCATCTACTTTATTTTACCATCATTATTCTGCTCAAACCAGCACAGGAGAAAAGCTCGAATCTTATCCTTCTTTTTAAATCTAAAAATAGGCTAATTGTTCATTATGAAGGGACTTATGCCCATACTGTCGCAAGATTATAAATGCAGCTTGTTTAAATATCTCCTGTGAAACTTAATGCAATTAATGGAAGCATAAAACATAAAGACAGAAATAATCCACAGTATTTCTTAGCTGTAGCCTCAGAATTATCCCGCTGCTCATGAAAACTGCTGCTTAACAGAATAATGTATTGATCAGAAAGTAATCTGGTCAGACCTGGCAGGATCCCTTTAAGTATATAAACCAGAGATATTACAGAAAAAAATTACACATATGGCAATTTTGAACAACTGTTATAAATGGCAGTTCTAACTCAGAGAGGCTCACAGACACATTAGACAGCAGACTGTGACTGGACTAAAAGATAAGGCTGTCATGCATATTCATGGTGATCAAGCAGGGAAGATATCAAAGGCTGAACCCTATCACTTAGACACGCAGTCAGAACACAGCCGAGTTCCACAGTTGCAGACATGCAGCAGTCACACATGCATGTGTGATGGAAAAAAATGCACCCACAGATAGCATGGGTAGATATAAACCCAGGCAATCTCAAACAGTAGTCTTTCGCATACTGTCGGTATCACAGAGGGACAGACTGCTTTCTGTGGCTCCCAATGCAGGTTATCTTTAAACAACCAGAGAAACAGCTGTGCAACCTCAGCTTCAGGCCTCTTTAATCCCACAGATGAGGCTTCCTGATGCACACTGGAGAGCATGCTGTCACTTTCATTTAGACTGAGGGATAACAAAATGGGCTTAGGCCATGGATGGTAACCACAAAACTACAAAAATATGAAACACAACTTTATATCTTTATGAGCCAGTCAAATACAAAAAAAAATAGTCATGACAAGCAAATATGACAACTCCATAGCAATTTTGGGGCCTGCTTAAATTTTGTGCTGATAAAAGCCAAAAGGAAACAAAAGTATATTGGATGTGCGTAATAAACTACGGCAGAGTCATTTAATATGCCCAGTGTGTATGTGCTTGTACTATCAAAGTATATACAAGAGTATAAAATAGCTACACATTTTATCTTCATTACTCGTCTCTTGTAAACACAGCTGAAGCCTCTGAGCTAGTTCCAACCCAGTTGTTTTCATATTTAAAGTTTTCCATTTACGCGTTATTTGCGTCTCATCCAGCAGACCACTTCAAACCAATGCATTAATAAAAGCTTAAACTGATCATCGTTCATCAAAAGCAATCATAAATCTCACCTTCAAAAGCTGTTAAAACTGCCACCGCGACAACCGGAAACAGAAAATGAAGGGGAAACATCATTTTAGTGAAGTTGCAGGTTTTGGTCTCCAGTACGCACGGAGGTAAGTTTTGGTGACTGCACGCACACGGTAGAAAAACAGCGCTGGAAACAAAGCATTACATTGCCGAGTGTCTTGGTTCCTCTGAATGTAGAGGCTCAACTAGGAAAAAAATAGTTTTAAATGTACTTCCCTGTCCTCTAAGTGATGACAGTTTTTTCCCCCCCTCCGACATCAGTGCTCTAGCTGGCACTGTGGGACAGCATCAGACACGGCTCTTACCATGATAGAAATCAGTAAACATGTGCCGCGGGGCAGATTAACTAGACCCACGTGGGTATAATCGGAAGGGCCGCAGGCAAATTAAATGCATACAAGGTCGGGGATCAGTGATTTCTACATGCGCATTTTAGTTTTGATTGAACAAATTAAGGATGGATAGAGACCTTCTTGACTCGAGCATATAATAATCATAGATTTCTACAACTCACTTGTGGATGAGGGGGGGAAAGTAACTGAGTAAATGATTTTTTCTTACTTAGTCGTACATGTACACGGTACTTTCAGACGGCCTTTAAGGGTGGCATTGCTTGACTTTTGGTCTTGAGTGGAGAAAAGAAAACTGTAGGGCGTTTTTTTGCCAGCTGTCAGCTTTATGTTCTCACTCATAGACAGCGTTACACATTACTTGGAGTGTAGGAAGGAGCAGATGGATACAGTCACAAACGCTTCGTGATGTCACAGCACACATACACTTGGTACAAAGCATCGGCAGTCACTCAAATTAACTCTAGTTTTTTAGGCCCATAAGTCCCTGTTAAACAAACGTATCGTTTATTTTTTACAATTTGAGATCTCTACGTGGAGCTGCATGCTAAAATATTTTTACAGGGCTTTTTTTTTTTTTTTACATATTAGAGATTAGTGAGTTTAGACTCTAAGTTAAGCTTAGATGTATTTTTCTGTGCTACTGCAGACCCTCGGGCCATATTTAATTTCTTAACATTCAAAATCACAGAGGTAATTTTGTAACTCTCTCTTTGTCTCTCTTTTCTTTTCTTTTTTTTAAGTGTATCACTAGATCTGCCTTGACCTAAAATTTTATAATGAGATAGGCTGAACCGTTCAAAGGCTAAACTGGAATAGCACGGTGTCCCTTGCCATAGTATGTGTCGTGTAGCCAAAGCAAGGCCAGGGGGAAGATTGCATTTAGAAACTATGGAATCCACCTGCTGTTCTTTTGCCCAGAGGCATCACACTAAGTGCTGGCATCAGTTTTATGGTAAAGAATACCAGGGTTTAATGAGCTTGGTCAGACTTTTCTTCACTAGTTCGCTCTCCAACACCGTCTTAAATACCCGTTCTCTAAAGCAATTACTGGCGCAGTATGTCAGATAAACTCACTGCACTCAATACCCTAGTGCATGTTTTATTACGAGGTGGCACCTGTGCCAGGGTGACAGCATAAAGCATGCAGGTGTCACTGGTGAATAAATAGTTTCCCACTTTACAGCAGAGGCTGATTAACTACATGTTATTAAATATGTGCCTCAGAGAAACACTTAAGGATCTGAAACAGTCTGCATTGTATAAATACAGGGAGTGCAGAATTATTAGGCAAGTTGTATTTTTGAGGAATAATTTTATTATTGAACAACAACCATGTTCTCAATGAACCCAAAAAACTCATTAATATCAAAGCTGAATGTTTTTGGAAGTAGTTTTTAGTTTGTTTTTAGTTTTAGCTATTTTAGGGGGATATCTGTGTGTGCAGGTGACTATTACTGTGCATAATTATTAGGCAACTTAACAAAAAACAAATATATACCCATTTCAATTATTTATTTTTACCAGTGAAACCAATATAACATCTCCACATTCACAAATATACATTTCTGACATTCAAAAACAAAACAAAAACAAATCAGCGACCAATATAGCCACCTTTCTTTGCAAGGACACTCAAAAGCCTGCCATCCATGGATTCTGTCAGTGTTTTGATCTGTTCACCATCAACATTGCGTGCAGCAGCAACCACAGCCTCCCAGACACTGTTCAGAGAGGTGTACTGTTTTCCCTCCTTGTAAATCTCACATTTGATGATGGACCACAGGTTCTCAATGGGGTTCAGATCAGGTGAACAAGGAGGCCATGTCATTAGTTTTTCTTCTTTTATACCCTTTCTTGCCAGCCACGCTGTGGAGTACTTGGACGCGTGTGATGGAGCATTGTCCTGCATGAAAATCATGTTTTTCTTGAAGGATGCAGACTTCTTCCTGTACCACTGCTTGAAGAAGGTGTCTTCCAGAAACTGGCAGTAGGACTGGGAGTTGAGCTTGACTCCATCCTCAACCCGAAAAGGCCCCACAAGCTCATCTTTGATGATACCAGCCCAAACCAGTACTCCACCTCCACCTTGCTGGCGTCTGAGTCGGACTGGAGCTCTCTGCCCTTTACCAATCCAGCCACGGGCCCATCCATCTGGCCCATCAAGACTCACTCTCATTTCATCAGTCCATAAAACCTTAGAAAAACCAGTCTTGAGATATTTCTTGGCCCAGTCTTGACGTTTCAGCTTGTGTGTCTTGTTCAGTGGTGGTCGTCTTTCAGCCTTTCTTACCTTGGCCATGTCTCTGAGTATTGCACACCTTGTGCTTTTGGGCACTCCAGTGATGTTGCAGCTCTGAAATATGGCCAAACTGGTGGCAAGTGGCATCTTGGCAGCTGCACGCTTGACTTTTCTCAGTTCATGGGCAGTTATTTTGCGCCTTGGTTTTTCCACACGCTTCTTGCGACCCTGTTGACTATTTTGAATGAAACGCTTGATTGTTCGATGATCACGCTTCAGAAGCTTTGCAATTTTGAGACTGCTGCATCCCTCTGCAAGATATCTCACTATTTTTGACTTTTCTGAGCCTGTCAAGTCCTTCTTTTGACCCATTTTGCCAAAGGAAAGGACGTTGCCTAATAATTATGCACACCTGATATAGGGTGTTGATGTCATTAGACCACACCCCTTCTCATTACAGAGATGCACATCACCTAATATGCTTAATTGGTAGTAGGCTTTCGAGCCTATACAGCTTGGAGTAAGACAACATGCATGAAGAGGATGATGTGGACAAAATACTCATTTGCCTAATAATTCTGCACTCCCTGTAGTTAATGTTTTGCTGGTGTCGCATCCAATGCAACTTCTCTAGGCAGTAAGTTTCTATTTAGACGAGCTTTGTGTTTTTGTTTTTGCTGGATGGGATTTGCCCAACACTGGACACTTGCAGATTATTAGTCAGGTTAACATCCTCCAGATCTCAGTGTGTTTTTCCAGGACATGCGACTGCTGCCTAGTTGTCATTAGAGATGACAAGAGATGTGGCTGGAGTCACCATCTGTGACTGCAGTACTTGGATATAGAGCTGCTGGCTACCAGGTGGCGCAAAGTTTTTAGAGGTCACTTGATGTGAACCAGCGGTACAGGACACTGAATCCATCTTAATTAACCCTTCTGCATAACTACTTTACATTTTTTTTTTTTTTTTTTTTTTTTTTGGCCTGTCCCGTTTGGCTCTTTTGCCATCAGAATTGTTGTCTAAAGGCAAAGAAAGATGCCCAACGGATTTACTTTACCAAATGACCATCCCAGCCTTGCCGTAATGGTCCATTTGATTCACCTTTTATTGTTTATTTTATTTTCACTTACTGAATACGGGACAGACTTGACTGGGGGAAAGAAGGGGAGAAAGAAAGAGGGAAAGAGAAACAGCTGAGAAGAGGGACGGGGGAGAAGGGCAAAAGACAAAAACCAACAAAACGGGCAGAGGAAAAAAAATGCATATATCAATCACCTGGGTCACCTGCTGAGAAAGAAAAAAGAAAGCAAGCAGAAGAGAACAAGAGTAATAGAATAAACAACATCACAATGATATATGTGAATATGACAGTAAATACTAAATATTAAACATTATTGTGCAGCACATAAGATCAACAGAACACAGTGTGCTTTGAGGTAGGAGCCAAAAAGGGTGTAGTTTGTGGGTGTGATCACCCGTGTGTACACCTGTGAGCATGGACGCGCTTGTTTTTTGTTTTTTTAAAAGGTTCCTTCGATGTAATGATCTGCTAGAGGGTGTGGGGGGGGCCACACCCCGTCCTCCAGCGTGGCAGTAAGAGATCGGCTCGTACGAGGGCGGGGGGATTCCAACAATAACGCATAATATCATTCCAAGGAGACATTCTTCCAGGGTGAGAACAAAGGCGTCCAGACCAGAGAAGCACCAGAGGGCTGCGCATTCCCGTAGAGCTAAGTACAGTCCATATCGAGGGTCACTCGCAAGAGGCCTCGTGACCAGAGTGCCACAGTGCATCGACCTCCGGCTGAGTCCAACCAAGGAAGACCAACAGAGGGGCAGCCGCGCCACTGTCCCAGAAAGAGCTGAGGAGAGTCCCAGATGAGGGCTCACTCAGCAGCCGCGGAGCAGAAGCCAGGGGGAGTTGCAGTGACGAGCCCGTGAGCTCCGCCGGCAGCCAGCCGCGCCTGAGTGACCGAGCCCCAGGCCGAGAGGCCGGGGGCACCCCACCTCCGAAGTGGCCCGAGCGAGCCCCAGGCTCCAGGCCCCGATAAGCGGCCGCCAAGGAGTGAGCCGGTGTGTACCTGGACGCCCATCCCCGGACACAAAGAACCACCAACGCACCGATGTCTGAGGGGGTCCGCCACTGGCAGGGGAAGTGGTGGTAGGGGGAGATAGGCCTCCAAACCTTGGAGGGCCTGAGATGTCCCCAGAGAGGTGGCGCTCTGACACCCAACCTGACATATAGACACAGACATACAGGCACACACAGAACAAACATCCATTCCCACCCTCATGCTCTCATATGCACTTACTCCACACTCAACCAACGTGGAGACAGACATAAAGAGACGTGTACACACATCACACTCCCCAAGCGTACTCTACAAACCGGGTCTAGGTGCACCCTTGCCCCTGGAGGGGGGAACTGCACCCAGACCCAGGTGGTGTTCCCTTTTCCCTGCGGTGGGGGGAGGCAGACCGCCCCGACTCCGCAGCAGCAGGGAGGCTCCACACTCCAGACCGCAGTCGGACGGCCAACTCCTCCTCCTAGCCCCCCCCGCTCCAGCAGGTCGCAGAGAATGGGGGTGAGAGAAGACTCCAAACCTCCCTCCACCCGCTCATTGTAGTGTTGATGCATGTGTGTTCTAAGGGCACCTGCCCCTCCCTTCCTTCCCTCCCCATCTCCAGCTGCCTCCCTCTTCCCGCTCCACCACAACCACCCACACATGCAGGGCC